CGTATAAAAGACAACAAAAATATGATTTGCTACTTGGGTCTAAATGAGAAGTTTTTTAAACTTATAGCGAGAAAACATCAACTAATGTCCAAATACAATAGTTCTTAATGATGAAATAGCTTTTACATTTTAGTTGGAAAGAACGAGTTAAAAATGTTAGAAGGTCAAACTCTACCTACCAACTAAAGGTCCAAGAAAGATCTCTCGTTAAAAATCACTCGTCATACTTAACACTCTCTCTTTCCAGATCACTATATGAGAAGGAAACCTATTTTGTGATGATTACTGAAATAGAAACACTAGCAAATTCATGTTAGAAACAAAATTAAGGGAGAAAAATGGAAGAAGCATATGGAAACTCACATCGTTAATATTATGTTCCTCTCCTAAGAAGGGAAGTCTCATGACTACGACTTAGATTATAACTCTTATGAGACATATATTTATAGTAGTCCAAGGATAATTCAACATTAATTTTTTTTTCTAAAAATTCAATCTTAGAGTGGTTTAATGGCATTCATATAGTACGAAGTAGGATTATGGTGTTCTAATTCGACTTTCATATGTGTTGTTGAAGATTAGATTTTCTTCATCTTTTTTGAAGTTTCACCTTAAACACTATTATTAGTACGGATGTAGCTCGCCTTAACCACAATCATTAGTACATTTGCATTTTTCGGAGGTAAGATGTTATTTGGATGTTGTGTAGGTGGCTCTCGAGAACCGATCGGACGACCGGTCGAAGTTCGGTTAAGATATAGAGAGCTAATGTTATGACTTGTAAAAATAATGATCAATCAACCAAGTACAAAAGATACAAATAATGAAAGATGTGGAAGGAGAAACATGTAATGCTAGTAAGACGCAAGTTATATGGCCGACAAGTAAGTAGTTAAGATCCAAACTTATTGAGCTTTAGGTGTTGATTGGTGTATGAGTAGAAGAGCTTTGAAATTGAGAGTTTGATTGTTTCTTTTATTAAAAATTAAAATTTTTAAAGTCAAAAGTTCTCTAAGGTAAAAGTTTTGATCCCTCATAATGATGTGAAACCGATATTATAGTGAAAGAATATGGCTCTTAACAAATATGATCATGCCCTTTCATCCAAGATTGGATGGTCGGGTTTGGCTTAAAGGATTTACGTTCTTTGAGTTAAAATGCTTTAACTTACCGAGTAAAGGTAAAAAGAAGTAACAATTAGGTCTTCCTTCAGTAGACCACGCTCTAAGTCCACTAAGTCAATCTCTCTAATGTATCCTAAAAAAAAGCATGGACACTAGTCATGTCATAACACTCGTATCCATCCTTTCAATCCATGACCTTGAGCTAAGTGAGACTCGTCCTCGGTCTAGTCTAATTGTGGTGTAACTTAGATCCATATCAAAATTAAAAAAAATAATAACATGAATAAGCAAATAAAAAAATTAGCCAAGTTAATTAATTTTAGTAAAATAGAGCATATATAGATGTTTTTCTTACCGAGACTTAGAATAGATAAGAACTCTACGTCTCTAACATGCCAAAAATTGAAATTACCACACATATATTATCAATACCTTCACAAGGTTAAATCATTCTATCCACTCCTATAGCCAAGTTAATAATTGTATAAACATTTCTCGGCTAATCATGATGATGATGATTAAAAAAAAAAAAGATGTTAAGTGCCTGCTTAAGTGTTAAGAGTATTATTGGTATTAGGAAACGACAAGGAATCAATAAATATCTCTTTAATTTTATTTTTACTCAATTCCAGCAAATAAAATAAGCTCTCAATCGTATTCAAAATCTAAAGAATCATTTCTTTTTGGAAATGGTCATTTTAAATTTTACTTTTCAATAATTTTCTCTTTATTCATTGGGGAGGTCTAAATGAAATAATCTCATTCTATGAAGCATGATATTGTACTTCACTTGCTTCAAAAGCCGAGGAACTATTAACCATGTATCAACACAAAGTGCAAACCTTGCTAAAAGCGGTATTCTCATCTTTCGAGTTTAAAATTTTTATAGTTAAAAAGAAGTGGCTTGGAGTAGCAGCAAATAATGCATTATTATAGTCTAACAGAAAAAATCAAATTCCAAAAAAAAAAGAAAAAAGAAAAGGGATAAAGGTAGATAAAAAAAATGGAATTAGACCACATAAAATAGTTTTTTGAAAGGTTGAATGCGCAACCTATAGTTAAAACATTCGGTTGAAAAATTTGTTCCTCAACCTTATAGTTCAAACATCTAATTTGATTTCTCAAACTACAATTTGAATAGACATATCTTTTGGATAAAATTCAATTGTTAATATGCGATTATTAACTAGAAAATGAAACTTTTTATTTCTTTTCTTTACATAATTATAACACTACTTTGATTCAATCTTCTTTTTACATATATGTATTACAAAATTAAAATATATAAAGCCAACATATATTTGGTTTTAGAGCTAGAAATATTAATCCGAGTAAGAGTTGTTGAATGATCCGAACCGGTGTATGAAATCGTAGAGAATACTCGTAAAAACATGTTTTGTTACTTAGGTCCAAATAAAAAGTATCTTAAACTTTTAGTAGACAACATCAACTAATATTCGAATAAAATAATATATAGTTCCTAATGATGAAAAAGATTTTATATTTCAATTGAAAAGAATAGTTAAAAATGTTATAAGGCCAAACTCTACCTACGAACTAAAGGTCTAAGAAACGACTCGTTGAAAGTCACCGTCATACCTAGCATTCTCTCTTTCAAGTTACTGTATGGGAAGTAAACCTATTCTATGATGATTACTGAAATAGATACATCAATAGATTCATGTTCGAAACAAAATTAGGGGAGGAAAATAAAAGAAACATGATGGAAACTCACATCATTGATATTATGTTCCTCTCCAAAGAGAGGAAGTCTCGTGATCGTAACTTAAATTACAATTTTTATGAGACATATATTTATAGTAGTTTAAGAATAATTCTACATCAATTTTGTTTTTTCTAAAATTCAATCCTAGAATGGTCTTACGAGCACTCATACAATACGAAGTGGGATTATGATGTTCTAGTTCGACTTTCATATATGTTGTTGAAGATTAGATTTTCTTCATGTTCTTTGAATTTTTACCTTAAAACACAATTACGAGTACAATTGTAGCTTCGCCTTAACTACAATTATCAATACTTTTGTATTTTCTAGAGGTAAGATGTTCGTTTGGATGTTTTTCTTGGCAAACATAGAATAGATAAGAACTCCAACGTGTTGGAAGTCGGAATTACCACGCATTATCAATACTTCCACAAAGTTAAATAATTCTACCCACCCTTATAGCCAAATTAATAATTGTACGGATATTTCTCAACTAATCATTATGAAGTTGATTATTAAAAAAATAAATGTTAACTAAGAGCCTACTTAAGTGTTAAGAGTGTTATTGGTATTGGAAAATGATAAAGAATGAACAAATATATCTTTAATTTCTTTTTTTCCGGGAAATAAAATAAGCTCTCAATTGTTTTCAAAATCTAGAGAATTATTTCTTTCTAGAAATGGTCATTTTACCTTTCACTTTTCAACAATTTTCTCTTTATTAATTCATTAGGAAGATCGAAATGAAATAATCTCATTCTATGAAACATGGTACTATACTTCACTTAATTCAAAAGCCGAGGAACTATTAACCATATATCAACACAAAGTGCAAACCCCGCTAACAACAATATTCTCTTCTCTCGAGTTTAGAATTTTTGAATTTTACAAAGAAGTGGCTTGGAGTAGGAGCAAAAAATGCATTATTATAGTCCAAGCAGAAACAATCAAATTCTAAAAAAAAAAAAAATGGGATGAAGGTCAATGAAAATGGAATTAGACCACATAAAATGAGAGAAGATAGATTTTCATGCTAACATTTGTGAAGTTACAAGCACACAACACTAGTGCATAGTCACTGTTAAGTCCATTATATACTATGTTTTAATATTTTATATAATTCAAAAATACGGACATAAAATAAAAATTAATTAACAAATATTGTGAAATATATATATATATATATATATATATATATATATATATACTGAAAAAAATATTTAATTTTAGGTAATGAGTCTTTAAAAAAAATTAACCATTAATTATGAAAAAAAATTATTCTTAGTAAATAATAAATAATGAAAAAATAAAAGCATGAAAAATGAGAAAGGAAAAAAAGGCTTGGCTAGGCTAAAACCAAGCCTTTCCGTTTGGGCCTGGAGAAAACCAAACATAGGTGGCTGGGCTAGAAACCCAGCCCTGTCAAAAAAATACAAGGACTTTTTTTGCAATATTAATTGATAGTTTTGTATAAAATAATAACACCAAAGTGTAATAAATTGATTAAAAAATCATTTATTTTGTTCTCTTAAAACCCGCGTGGTTTAGAGCCTTAAAAGCACAAAACGACGTCATTTTGGTTTGACTATATTGAGGCTTAGCTGCAGTGATCAGTATTTTGATTAAGTTCTTTTATAATATAATTTGATTGCCACTTATGTACTTGGGATATTTTGCTACTGAAACACTGTTCAGTTTCATTCAATTTTATCATATGCTAAAATTTTTCTTTTAAAAAAGAGCGCTATTTGATAAGCCATCATGTAGTGCATCACATTTAAGTTGACCGCTGCATGCTAATTGGCCACATTTAGACTATTATTTCAGTAGTTAATTTCTTTAGAAGGTGAACTATTCTTAATTTCTCAGCAATTATAACTAAAGAATGAAGTCATAGCTGATGAGCAGATTTTAAGTTCTTTTGTTGCCAGTCAATTTTTAGGTGTTAGTCACACGAAGTGAATTATGGATACAGGAAACAGTATAGTGACATAATCTATGACGTCCTCCTAAAAAATGATATAAGCAATGACCCCGGATTTTGCAGCCTCAATTCTTCAACAGTTTCACTTCACATTCTATAAATACTTGGCATTTTCGATGCAAACTAGCAGAGAAAACGAGAGATTACAGTAAGAAGACAAATTAAAATGGCAGAGGCGCAGAGCGTTCATATTCCTAGGGTCAAGCTTGGAACTCAAGGACTTGAGGTATTACTCAGTCAATGTGATCATTTCTATAGGAAAAATCATCCAGAATTGAAAAGTTTGTTCATTTTCCCTGATTTGTTTTTTTCTGAAATAATATTTTTGGTCTAATAGGTCTCAAAGTTGGGTTTTGGATGTATGGGGCTTAGTGGAACTTACAATACTCCAGTCCCTGAAGATGCTGGCATTTCAATCATCAAGGAAGCTTTCAATCAAGGAATTACATTCTTTGACACTGCAGATGTTTATGGACCTCACACTAACGAAGTTCTGCTTGGCAAGGTTAGTGCCAACAAGTGGTTTTGTCTTCCCTTAATTTCGTCATTAAGTTATGCCTACAGGTATATGTATGATTTTGCCTCTGCATCAGCTCTTCAATTAGTACTTCTTAAATGTCATGCTTGTGTTGGAAAGATTAAATGGGCTAGACTCATTGATTATGAAGGCTGCATCGTGTTGATTAATTGTAAGCAAAATCCATATGTAAAAATAGCAGTACTAAAGTAGATCAAAATATTTGCAGGCATTGAAACAGTTGCCTAGAGAAAAGATCCAGTTGGCAACAAAATTTGGCGTTGTTACAAGGAATTTTGATCTAAAAGATCTTACAAAAGTTCCAGTCTGTGGAAAGCCTGAATACGTCCGTGCATGTTGTGAGGCTAGCCTTAAGCGTCTCAATGTGGAATACATTGATCTTTACTATCAGCACAGGATTGACCCTTCAACACCCATCGAGGATACGGCAAGAACTTCGTTTTTCCCCCTCATTTCGGGATACTCTAATTTCATCATATATATAACTTCTTACTGATAAAGTCTACTACTGATTCAAATGTTTAAAGGATCAGAAAGCATGCTGGAGCAACGTATATAGGGCATTTTGAACTTATTATTTAATAATGGATGTCCTTTTCCGGCTTTCGCAGGTGGGAGAGCTCAAGAGGTTAGTGGAAGAGGGGAAAATCAAGTATATCGGATTGTCTGAAGCTAGCGCAGACACAATAAGGAGGGCACATGCAGTTCATCCTATCACCGCAGTTCAAATGGAATGGTCCCTGTGGTCTCGTGACATTGAGGAAGAAATAGTCCCACTTTGTAGGTAGATTCCTTTCATGCACTATGCATAGCAGAAACTGCTTCTTTTTTTATATAAAAAAGAAATCTTTTCCAATTTTTCTTCTGCGTATATATGTGCTGACATTTTCTTAATATGTCTTATGACATTTGGTGCTCAAACTATGCAGAGAACTTGGAATTGCAGTAGTTGCATATGGTCCACTTGCTTTTGGACTTTTTGCTGGCAAGGCAGTTTTGGAAAGTTTACCTTCAGATACTTTACTTGTATGTAACTATGCTTACAATTACTCGTTTGCATTTGGTACTTTCAACCTTGGTGTTTCTAAAGAGTAAATCCTGAACCAGACAATGTTATTCTGTAGCAGAGACATCCTACTTGTTCTTCATCTGATTGAAGAGATAATTATATATTCTAATTGCTAACTCATGACTTGACTTGTCTTATTCAAGACACTGCATCCTAGATTCAGTGGCGAAAATCTTGACAAGAACAAGATCTTTTACAGTAGAATTGAAAAGTTGGCTAGTAAATATGGATGCACTCCTGCTCAGCTTGCTCTTGCCTGGGGTCTGAATCAAGGGGATGATGTGGTTCCCATCCTGGGTGAGGAGGCTCTTTCTTTCTTTCTTTCTTTCCTCTTTCTTTAATGTTTTCAGTTCTCTCATTAGAATTATATTCCAATTAAGGATTTCTGAAATTTTACAGGGACTACCAAGATTAAAAATTTGAATAGCAATATTGGGGCATTGCGAGTTAAGCTCACAAAAGAGGAAATTAAGGAGATTTCTGATGCTGTGCCTGTCAATGAAGTGGCTGGAAATAGATCCATTAAACCTGAGTTGTCATGGAAGTTCGCTGATACACCAGTTAAAGATCACAAGATCTCAACCTAATGTGTATTGAAGCAATCTGGTGCTGCCTGATTTTCTTTCCTTTCCGAATAATTATGGGAGTGAATGTGATCTGAAATAAAACAAGGGTGATCACCTGCTTGATTTTCTTTCCTTTTCGAATAATTATGGGAGTGAATGTGATATGAAATAAAACTAGGCTGATCACCCTAAGAAAATTCTTGTGTAGAATCTGTCTACATGGATAAAATCGATTCCCTGTTTTATTTTTGTTACCTATTTTCAATACTTGCTTTGCGTTGTCTGTTCTCTTTATGAAGGGACTTTCTCAATATCCTTTATCAGAAAGTGCAGAACACAGCTCCTCAAAGCATCAATCTAGTATTGTTGAATGCAAAATAAAGAAATGTTTCAACGGAAGCTGCATTTTGTCAAAAGTTCAAGGATATACGCAACATAAAAAAAGATGAACAGAGCAGGATAGCTAGCCATTGAAATGTTGGTGGTTAACTATACACTAGACCGATAATTGCTGGAGAAAAAATTAATCAGCCAGAGGGATATTGAGATGATTAATTTTATTCTTCTTCAGGCAATGAATAATGGGTAGCTGCACATTGAGATGCGCTTCCTATTCCTTGAACTTAATCATTCTTTGGGTACGCACACACATGATGAAACATTTAATTATGTGTGAAAGAGGGAGACAACTTGGGAGGAGAAATATGATGTTTTAAGTATTGAATTATTAGCTTAGGTAGTCTTTGTTCATAGTCTCTGATGAGCACGGATGAAATGCATCGATCCTATTAAGCAGTCTAGATGACACGTGTCAATTAAGACACTCCAGGCATGCTTTGTACAAAAGCAGGATACGCATCTCCTCAAGGGCTGGCTGGGGCCTCAACTAGGATGTCTATCTCGGATGGTGAAAGATTCACCCTACCAATTATCATGATAAAAAAAACATACATTTTAAAAAGATATTATTTTAAGATTATCATTGTTCAGTCGACACCAATCATGATTATATTAACACTATCAAAAAACAAATCACATCAACAATATAGATCTTTTAAGTTGGTATTAAAAACTACCAATAATTAAAAAAAAGATCATTTTATCTCTCTCATTGTACAATTTGATAAAAATCTCACCTATATAACATCCTTACCATGAAGAATTTTAGGTTCAAGATCCGACATGTTTTAAAAAAATATACACTATTCGTTATCTGTACCACTCACACAATGACACATTAAAAATTCAATTATGTCATTTCTCATCACTAACTTGATCATCAGCGCTCCCTCAATCCACTATAGGGACTTCTTTTTCAAGTACTTTATGCAGAAACAAACACCAAGGAATGACTAAACTCCATTTTCCATATTAGCCAAACAAGAGTCGCGTAGCCTCTAATTATTGTTTTTCGAACTAATTAGTTGGCGTCGTTTTTGAAAAACTATTCAAAAAGCTAGTTTCTTATTTTTGCATGCAATCTCTGAGCTCTTTTATGGCTGATCAACAAAAAAACGCTAGGTCGTACGACTTCATTATATTTCATAGGTCCTAGCATCCAACCGATGAACGTCGTCCAGTTACAATACAACGACTTGTAGAACATCGCAAAATCATTTCTGATTATTCAATAACAAATAAAGGTCCTAACTTCAAATCCACCAGCGCCACAAGCACCGCTCTGTGCTGTACCTCCAAAAACTCTCACAGGACCATGTGTCGTGCCACGTGTCGAAGGAGCCTTGTCCTCTCTCCATACAAATAGACGCTGTCAACGCTTTTTTGAAGAAGGAAGAAGTGGATGCAATGATGCGAGAAGCGAAGAACGGGGCACCGTCTGTCTCCAGAACCACGAAGAAGCCACCAGCATCGTCACGAAAAAGAGCCAATGAGTCAAGGTCTCACCGAGGAAGAGAACGGAAAGAAAGGACGAAGCACCATCGCAATGCCAAAAGCAAAATAAATAAATAAATTCATAACTGATCAAAAATTTGAATCCCTGTTCTGCAAAACTTATTTTGTTGTCGTAGTCCATAGACATATCTCAATTTATGAAGCTTTATGGATATGATTTTTCTATTTGACAAGTTATATTATATTTTTTAATATTCTCTTTTTTTTTCTAGGTGTTTTAATGTTTAATGTTTTATGGGTTCTTTCTAGAAATTTTCATGTATTTTCTAGGCTTTTCAAAATTAATTTATCTTTTAATGATTGGAGGGCATTTGTTCCAAAAATTAATAAAAAGGACACATGAAAGAAAATATGAATATATAAAGGTATATGAGAGTGAAAAATTTTTAAAAATACATTTCGAAGAATGCACCCAATATATATAAGGATAGATAAATTAGTTAACCTTATAATTAAACAAGCAGACATAACCTATCGGATATGTATTTAACAATTTTTTTAATGAAAAGCTTCGAGTCTTAGCAATTTTTGTTTAGTTAGTTACTAGTTTTTTGCCCGCGCTATGTTTTATATTGAATAAAATATATAAAATCGTTTAAAAAAATCATTTCAGTTTAATTATACTGTTTTATGGTGTGAATCTATAAAAATTTATAAAATCAAAGATGTAAAAAATTATTTAATAAAAAATTTTGTATTTAACTATTTCTTATTTGTGTTTTTCATAATTTTTCCTTTAGAAAAAGGATTCATCCTTGTTAATCCATGGATCATTAACTAAAAAGAAAATTAAATAAATTTTTTTAAAAAAGTTTTAGTATTTCATAAGATTGTGTCGAAAAACATAAATAACAATTATTAAAAACTTACATAGAATTGAATAAATAATTTTTTTTATTTAACGTTGATGAGAATATCAGTTTTTAAAAAAAATATCAATTTAGTTTTTATATATTTATTTACAAAAGAATGAATAATATTAAAATTAAAAATTATATTAAGCCAAAACATTATTTTAATTATTTAATTTAAAATAAGTTAATTTTAAAATATTCAAAAATAAATAAATAAATAGTAAATACTTAGTGTAGTAGTAGTTGCACAGATTGATTTCTAAAAAACAATGATTCAATATTTTTCTATACATCATAACTATATTAAGTGACTTTAGAGTTTTCGAGTCTAAAACAAAAAATACAATAAAAAGTTAACTTGCAAGAAATATATTGACTAAATTTGAAATTAATAGACTAAAATAAAAATTATTTCAAATAATTTTGATTATATAAAGAAGAAACAAATTATAAAACATGTGAACTCTTTTTCTTTTTCTTTTTTTCCTCCTTCTTAAAATTTTTTTTATTTCTATATTATTCATGGCTAGTCCTTGAATATAGGCCTCACACACGAGCAACTATCTTCTTTTTATTTTTGACATTTGACTTTCAACTATTAATTAATTAATTTGAGTTTTTGTCTCAAAAAACCAAGAAAACATTACTTGAAATACACTTTTAATCTAAAAATGTATTTTAGATAAATTATATATTAACCATGCCACTATAATTTAAAAGTTATCTAAATCTATTTTTCAAAAGAAAAAATAATCATGTTCTAAATATTTATTCCAAAATCCATACATATAAAAAAATAAATCAAAACTGTTAGTGAATATAATTTTAAATTAATTAGATAAGAATTTTTAAAAAATGACATAAAGTAGTAAATTTTAAATAATAAAAATAATTAATAAAAAACACTAAAACAAAATTGGATGAAATCACAATATAATCAAAGTTTGAAATTGAAAAAAAAAAGAGAGCATTTAAAAAAATGAAAAATTAATGTAGTAAATTTTAAATAATAAAAAAATTGAGAAAAAATTATTTGAAAAACACTTTTAATCTAAAAATGTATTTTAGACAAACTATATATATATATATATATCGTGCTACTATAATTTAAAAAGTATCTAAATCTATTTTTCAAAAAAAGTAATAATTATGTCCTAAACATTTATTCCAAAATCCATACATATAGAAAAATAAATAAATAAATCTCAGTAAATATAATTTTAAATTAATTAGATGAGAATTTTTTTAAAAAATGACAAATTAAATTATTAAATTTTAAATAATAAAAATAACTAACAAAAAATACTAAAACAAAATGGGACAAAATCACAATATAATCAAAGTTTGAAATTGAAAAGAAAAAGAAGATAATGTTTTTTTAAAAAGAAGACAATTTAATGTAGTAAATTTTAAATAATATAAAAAATTGAGAAAAAATTATTTGAAATATAATTTTAATCTAAAAATGTATTTTAGAAAAATTATATATATTAATCATGCCACTATAATTTAAAAATAATCTAAATTTATTTTTCAAAAGAAAAAATAATCATTTTCTAAAAATTTATTTCAAGATCCATACATATAGAAAAATAAATCAAAATTGTCATTAAATATAATTTTAAATTAACCGAATGAGAATTTTTTTAAAATGATATATTAAAGCAGTAAATTTTAAACAATAAATATAATTAACAAAAAACACTAAAATAAAAAGGGACCAAATCACAATATAATTAAAGTTTGAAATTGTAGAGAGAGAGAGAGAATTTAAAAAAAAAATGATAAATTAAAGTAGTACATTTTAAACAATAAAAATAATTAACAAAATAAAGTTTGAAATTGAAAAAAAAAAAAGAGAATTTAAAAAATGACAAATTTAAATCATAAATTTTAAATAATAAAAATAATTAACAAAAAATAATAAAACAAAATGGGATCAAATCACAATACAATTAAAGTTTGAAATCGAAATAAAAAGTTTAGAAAATTTGAGGAACAAAGTATTAAAAAATGATATGAATAGTGAAAGGAATAGTGATTTGTGAATGCGTGAATAGTATTTCAAATAGTGAAATGAATAGTAAAACAATGTTTTAATAGTTTTTTTGCTCGCGATACGCTGCGAGTTGAATAAAATATATAAAATTGTTCAAAAAAATCAGTTTAGTTTTATAGTTTGTTTTATAGTGTGAATTTATAAAAATATATGAAATCAAATATGTAAAAAATTATTTAATAAAAAATTTTGTATTTAACTATTTCTTATATTTGTTTTTCATAATTTTTCCTTTAGAAAAAGGATTTATTCTTGTTAATCCATGGATTATTAACTAAAAAGAAAATTAAATAAAATTTTTTGAAAAAGCTTTAGTATTTCATAAGATTGTGTCAAAAAAATATAAATAAATATTATTAAAAGCTTACATAGAGTTGAACAAATAATTTTTTTTTATTTAATGTTATGAGAATATCAATTTTTGAAAAATGTGAATTTAATTTTTATATATTTATTTACAAAAGAATGAATAATATTAAAATAAAAAACTATATTAATTTGAATCATTGAGTGGTTAAGCCAAAACATTATTTTAATTATTTAACTTAAAAAAATTTAATTTTAAAATATTCAAAAACAAACAAATAAATAGTAAATGCTTAGTGTAGTAGTTGCACACTCGATTTCTAAAAAAATAACGATTCAATATTTTTTTATACATCATAACTATACTAAGCGAGTTTAGAGTTTTCAGTCTAAAATAAAAAATGCTATAAAAAGTTAACTTGCAAGGAATATATTGACTAAACTTGAAGTTAATAGACTAAAATAAAAATAATTACAAATTTGATTTTGAATAATTTTGATTATACAAAGAAGAAACAAATTAATAAAATATGTGAATTCTTTTTCTTTTTTTTTCTCCTTCTTAAATATATATATTTTTTTATTTCTATACTATGCATGGCTAGTCCTTGAATATAGACCTCACATGCAGAGCAACCATCTTTTTTTTATTTTTCACATTTGAATTTCAACTATTTATTAATGAATTTGAGTTTTTTCCTAAAAAAACCGAGAAAAAATTATTTGAAATACATTTTTAATCTAAAAATATATTTTAGATAAATTATATATACTAATCATGCTATTGTAATTTAAAAGTTATCTAAATCTATTTTTCAAAAGAAAAACTAATCATGTTCTAAAAATTTATTCCAAAATCCATACATATAGAAAAATAAATCAAAACTGTAAGTAAATATGATTTTCAATTAATTGGAAGAGAATTTTTTAAGAAAATGATAGATTAAAGTAGTAAATTTTAAATAATAAAAATAATTAACAAAAAATACTAAAATAAAATGGGATGAAATCACAATATAATCAAATTTTGAAACTGAAAAAAAAAAAAGAGGAGAATTTAAAAAAAATGACAAATTAATGTAGTAAATTTTAAATAATAAAAAAATCGAGAAAAAAATATTTGAAAAACACTTTTAATCTAAAAATGTATTTCGGATAAATTATATATATTAATCATGCCACTATAATTTAAAAGTATCTAAATCTATTTTTTTTAAAATAATAATCATGTTTTAAAAATTTATTTCAAAATCCATACATATAGAAAAAGAAATCAAAAGCTATCAAGTAAATTTAATTTTAAACTAATTAGATAAGAATTTAAAAAAAAAATGACAAATTAAAGTAATAAATTGAAAATAAAAAAAATAATTAACAAAAAATACTAAAAAAAAAGGGGGAAGAAATCACAATATAATCACGAGTTTGAAATTAAAAAAAAAAAAAGAGAATTCAAAAAAATGACAAATTAATGTAGTAAATTTTAAATAATATAAAAAAACTGAGAAAAATTATTTGAAAGACACTTTAATCTAAAAATATATTTTACATAAATTATATATATTAATCGTGTCACTATAATTTAAAAATGATCTAAATCTATTTTTTAAAAGAAAAAATAATCATGTTCCAAAATTTTATTACAAAATCCATACATATAGAAAAATAAATCAAAACCATTAGTAAATATAATTTTAAATTAATTGAATGAGAATTTTAAAAAAGATAAATTAAAATAATAAATTTTAAATAATAAAAATAATTAACAAAAGCACTAAAATAAAATGGGACCAAATCACAATATAATTAAAGTTTGAAATTGAAGAAAAGAGAGAGAATTTTTTTAAAAAAATAAGAAATTAAAGTAGTAAATTTTAAATAATAAAAATAATTAACGAGAAAACACTAAATATATAATAGGACTAAATCACAATACAATTAAAGTTTAAAATTAAAAAAGAAAAAAAAATTGAGGACCAAAGTATTAAAAAATTGATATAGATAGTGAAATGAATAGTAATTTATGAGTGTGTGAATAGTGTTTCAAATAGTAGCATAAATAGCAAAACATGATTTTACTTTAGTTTTATTTAGTAATAATAATTATATAATGGAAGAGTTCCACATCTCTTTGTGCGAGCAAAAGCTATCTACGAGTCTCATGATTCAAAAAAGATTGAGAAAGAAAAACCACCGCAATCAATAAATTCATAACCCATCGGTCTAGATTTTTAAAGTAAAATGGTGTCCATCTTCCTCACACAGTCACACTTACACGTTTAAGTGAAAAATAAATAAATGAATTAACATACGAAATTGTTATGCGTAAAAATCTTTCTTTTAGACCTCATCTTGCCGCTGGAAAGTTAATAAAATCCCTTGATTGAATTTTTTTTTCTTTTAGCTAATGGACTTAATTATCAAATTATCACTTTTTTAGGTACATTAACTTAATTATCAGATTAATCACTTACTTTTTAAGCAAAATATATACCCAATTCTCTTTTCTCAAAATTTTGTTGCATGATAGCTAATGTTCTTTAATTTAATAAATACTTTAACTCTAAACAAAAGTCACTTATTAATATGATTAATTATGTTTAATAGTACTGATTTTATTTCCGATTATTGAACAGATTTTATTTTTTTACTCTTAATTTATCAATTACTTTTCTCTTTAGATTAATCAATAATTGTATTTAGAAATAAATACTATTTTATTTTTGTTAAAATATATTTATCTTCTCATATTAAGTCAAATTATGAATCAATATATGTGTTAAAATCACATATGATGAATGAAAAAAAATCATGCAATCTTTCTTTTATACATATTGTCTAATTTTTTTCATAGTTTTTTTTTTTGTTAGCATATATCTCTTCGGATACGTGGTGAACACATTATAGTTCACTCAGTGTCTTATAGTTCTAATAGCTTTTCTATGTTTTTCTATCCAAGCATCATTAATCATGTCTTTTGGCTTGGCTTTACATAACTCAATCGAATCAAACAAATCTTGGTAATAAAGTTAGTTAATCCTCCATCAACTGCTTATAAATTGAATATTCAAAATTATCAGATTGATTATGGTTTTTGAATTTATTTTTTCCATCAAATTTATACGAATATTTCAAGTAAAACTCTAATATCACTGTTAAAAATTAATTTATTTCTATATAAATTAATTAGATTTTGTAAAAAAAACAATCAAGCTAAAAACACATAACAATTAAGAGAATAAAATAAATTAATTACAAGAGTAGAACCACATGAACAACAAATTTATATGGAAAACTCTCTTTAAATTATAGAAAAAAAAACTACATGATCAATTTTAAAATAATCCACTATAATTAATAAATGAATACAATTACTCAAGTTTTTCATGAACTTGAGAAGCAAAAATATTAGTAGTAATACAAGTTATTTTTCTAACTAAATTCATCTCATTATGAAAATTTGAAATCCATTATATTTCCGTAAAAATCAATATTGTACGATATCACTACTTTAAACAATATAATTTTCTATAATTATAGTATTCAAAAATCAATAATAGCTAAAACCTTAATATTTTTTATCACAAAAATTCTTACCCTTTTGCTATAGCTATAAAATTTTTTTTTCTTTCTCCTGTTACTCTCTCGACCTCCACAGCAACAATACAAGGTTAAAAATAAACATTTATTTTATTCTGGGTGCAGGTCCCTGTTGCTGCTTGTTTAGGAAAAAAATTTCATGTATTTTTTCCTCTTCGTTTTCCCACCACCACACACGCACACACTATATAATTTAATCTTTTTTTTTTTCAAAATCAATAATTATTTTTTTGATTTAATTTTTTAATAGATTATGATAGGATCATTCATAGATTTTTTTAAACTCACGTAATCAAAACTCATAATAAAATTAATATATTAGAATTCAAATCTATAATTTTTTTTTGTTTTTTTGTTATAAGAGATCAGAATTACTGCACTACTGCTTTTTGGTTATCATTGATAGATTGAATCTAGAAGCTATAGCATGCTACATATTTGACATTATTCAGAAAAAGATGGATACTTGTAGAAAAATTCCTTTTAAGAATATATAAAAGCATATAAAATGCAGTCCCAAAGCAGAGGAGGATTGGTTGTTGTCTTGGTGACATATGATCATGCGTCAGTTGCATTATCCATACGTAGGATAATACGTCAGTCGCAATGTCCATCAAACATCAAACTTACCCTTTTTAGTCAAACCTAAGGCAGCAAGTAGTAGGAATCTAGCATGCCACCACGCCATATAAAGAGTCAGTGAAAGCTCGAGAGAAAGAAGAGACGCTCCCCTGCTCTCACTCTGCCTTTACTGCTTCACTTGTACCTCTGCCCCTCTTTTATAGCAAGAACGTACAAGAAGAAGAATTCAAAACGATGGCCGAGGAGCAAAAAGTTATAATTCCAAGAGTGAAATTGGGTAACCAAGGATTAGAGGTAAAACCCATTTCACCTCTCTCTTTCTCTCTGTAATTTTCTGTTTCTCGATTAGATAGATGCATGTTTTGTAAAACTATACAATCTTTATGACTTATATGGCAATATATATATGAAATATGATATTCTTCTTCTTTGTAATTAACTAGATACTTGTTTGTTTCTAATCTTTATGATTAATAAATAGTTATAGAATTCAAGAAGAATCTAATTGCTTAAACAAGTGATTTGATTTTGAGTTCTTGACGTAGAGAACTCCTTGATAATTGTGTCTACCTTATGCGTTGGACTGAACAAAAAAAGGATTAATTTGGGTTTTTAGGCTTGAAATACCCTGAAGATTCAAAAAAAATAAAAATAAATAGTTATAGTTTGAGCTAATGAGCAATAATCAACACTAACGGTAAGAGGAAAAATCATTATGAACCAGTTCACTGATCAATTGGTACATTTAAAACCAGCATTGGCGTATTTACTCTTCTTAACTCACCATTCCATCAACAAATCATTAATAGATTTGGTATATTTATGAAAAGAATAAGGCAAAATTAGAGATCAAATTTTGGATTCAAGGACTTGAAGCATAACCCATATATCATATTCATAGCCTTAGAGACTCTAGAGTGAAATGTTGCAAAAATGGGACAATGGTTGTTTACTATAGAAGAAACCCTCCTGTAGGGAGATAGAGTTCTGTAAGCTAAGAAGGGAAATGTGATACTGTCTCACGCGTGATTTTTTTTTTTTGTTTTCAACTTTTAGGTCTCAAAGTTGGGCTTTGGATGCATGGGGCTTACTGGAGCGTACAATGCCCCACTACCTGAGGATGCTGGCATTTCAATCATCAAGGAAGCTTTTAGCAAGGGGATTACGTTTTTTGATACATCAGATGTTTATGGACCTCACACTAACGAAGTCCTGGTTGGGAAGGTAAGTTTCAAAATTTTATTTTCATTCTGAGGGTCTTTCAAAATATCCTTTCATGAAAAAGAATTGGCCGGTGTGATATGGTATATAGTTTTTTTTTCCTTATAATAATAACATCCAAGCCTCAATCCCAAACTGTTGGCTGGTATATAGTTTTGATAATAGTGAAAAACTTGCCTGCAAAAATCCATCTTCACTTGACCTTATTTTTCCCTTTGGACTCCCTCTGCTGGTGGTTACTGATGAAGCTAGTCCCTTTTGCTTTTCTATCCATTTATATACCATATTGGCCTGGAATTGGAGCAATTCTTTAGAGTTTAGATGGATAAGACTTTTTTCCATGCTAATGGCTCTCAGAAATGCTCTCCTTGTTGAAGGCCATAAATAAATTGCATTTGTAGGACTATTTGTCAGTATCATTTCATCAAATCTTGGACATGAATGAGTTTCGCAAACTCAGGGGGAAGGCTTGTCTCTTTTTGCAAGAAAAGGTTTGCTCCACTCATCGAATCACAGATTAAGTAATTGCCCGGAAAGCGGTGGTCATGACTTGAAAAGGTTATGGGTTGAAAGGTTATATGCTCATCCTCGTGTTGAAGAATCCAACCCTGTTTGTAAATGAGAAGCTAGCATGGCCAACAATGGACACTTGCCGAAGCAAGCACTTAACATATGAAGATCATGCTTAAGATGCTTAATGAACAGTTAGCCAATGAGCCTTTGTTTCAAATGGCATGTGTTTCCCCTCCCATAAAAGAGCTCTTGGGTGGAGAGGAATTTCTGATATAGCATCAGGTGGTCCTTTTCTTTGTTTATTTATCTTCGAAACTTGCATTTTGCAGGCATTGAAGCATTTGCCTAGAGAAAAGATCCAGCTGGCTACAAAATTTGGTATTGTTCCAAAGACTTCTGATTTTAGAAATGCTGCCATTAATGGCAGTCCTGAATATGTCCGATCATGTTGCGAGGCTAGCCTGAAGCGTCTTGATCTGGAGTACATTGATCTTTACTATCAACACCGTATCGACACTTCTATACCAATAGAGGAAACTGTATGTTTTTTCTTTTTCTTTGTTCTTTTTTTTTTCATTAAGAAAAACATGTCAAATTAACTGCTGCAGTATTTAATTTCTAATCCAATTACTTTGAGTTGGCAGATGGGAGAGCTTAAGAAGTTAGTGGAAGAGGGAAAAGTTAAGTATATTGGATTATCTGAAGCTAGTCCTGACACAATAAAGAGGGCACATGCAGTTCATCCCATCAGTGCATTACAAATGGAATGGTCACTTTGGTCTCGTGACATTGAAGAAGAAATAATCCCACTTTGCAGGTATCCATATCATTGGGATTTTCATTGCAAGTTGATAATTTATAATGGACACCTTCTAAAATGTGAAACTTCTTATTGAGGTTTTTGCGAACCAAGCTAGCATGTGAAACTTCTTATTGAGGTTTTCGTGAACCAAGCTAGAATTCTTTTCCTTCGATATATTTTAACATTTATTTTTTGGGTTTTATATTTAATCAAGTCAATTTACTACCATTTCTAATGGCATCTGGTTGTTTAACTTGTGTAGGGAACTTGGAATTGGAGTAGTTCCATATATAGCCCGATTGGTCGGGGATTTTTTGCTGGCAGAGCAGTTGTGGAAAGTTTGCCTTCAGAGACTGTACTGGTATGAAGCTCCACACACACACTCACATATAATGAGATAAAAAGAAAATTGCATCCATTTACTGCAACTCAATCTTTTAATAGTGCCTTTTGTGCTTAAAGAAACTACTACTGAAACTTGGAACATCATTAACCCAATTTATTTCTGTGCATGTACTTTGTTGTTGCTTCTTTGACTTTAACAATCTTAGTAACTTGTGGCTTACTTGCTGTTGTTTTAGAAATCACATCCAAGGTTCACAGAAGAAAATATGGAGAAGAACAAGGTGTTTTATACCCGAATAGAAAAGCTGGCTGCAAAGCATTTCTGTACTCCTGCTCAGCTTGCCCTTGCTTGGGTTCTCAATCAAGGAGATGATGTGGTACCTATCCCCGGTGAGTCAGCTTGTATTTTACTTATGTTAATTTAGCTACAAAAGTTTGATTAATGTATCAAATTCCACAAGTATTGGATTGCTAATCTTTTCTTCAAATATCTCTAGGAACCACAAAGATTAAAAATCTGGATGACAATATTGGATCATTGCAAGTTAAGCTGACAAAAGATGATTTGAAGGAAATCTCTGATGCTGTTCCAATGAATGAAGTTGCTGGAGTTAGATCTTGGCAGTACCACTATACATGGAAGTTTGCTAATACACCACCACCTAAAAATAGCCAAGTCTGAATTTGATATGTACGTGAGAGCAAAAGGTTGTTGCTAGATTATATTTCAATCTTATAAATAAATTCCATCTTGGATTAATTATCATGGTGAGAATGTACAAACTATAGGAAATTAGTCATGTGGACGATGAAATTTTGTCGAAGTTTTTGTGCTTCAATGAAAAACTTCGGGATATTATTTTCGATTTTTCAGTAATAGACTACTAATTGCTCCTTTTTATAGTCTTTACGAACACAACTTAATGCAGCAGGCCACATCATGTTTCTTTGGTACCCAGATGACAACTTCATTTCAATTTGTAATAGGTTTAGAAAATACTTGTTCAGTATCTGCGGGTTGTACCGAGAAAGTTTACAAAATCTGTTTAATATTTAAATTAATATAAAAAATTAAGTTAATGAAATTAAAATAAATTAACATTAATTGTGGAGATTTTTTAATTGAATATGTTTTTTGTAGTATTTAATATCAGGTGTATTTTTATTTTAAGTTTAAACATATATTATGAATATTTTAATTTTAATAAATGGAAGGATGACAAGAATAACAAGGAAAGAATGCTCGAGCAATATATGATAGAAGGATCGTTAATTTTAATCAATGAATTCATAATTATATGAATCATATTATTCTCAACTTGATGTTGGGTTTTTTTATTATTATTTTGAATCAACGTGATTCTAAACATTAATTTTTTTAATTCATATCTAGCTATCATAAATTTTGAAATGAGACATAATCCGTCAAAAACTAACATAAATTAAAAGATAATAAATTATTAACTATCAAATCCTTATTAATTTATGATTGGTGTTGATATTAAAAAAAATTGATGTTATAGTCAAGTGCTATCGTAATTAGTTTTTTTTTCTTTTAAAAAAAAAAATTATACATTTTAGATTGACCAATTATCAAACCTCAATTCTTGTCAAAACATTTGGTATTTTTTTTTTTTTGTGAGTTTGCACGAAGAATCATTATTTTTTATATTAATTTAAAAAAAGAGTCAAAATCATGAAAAATAATTTCATTTTTTCTGTGAGACTGTATGAAAATACAAAAATAAGCCTTAATTATTTATGAAAAATTGATATTGAGAAAATAATAAAAAATAAAAAATAAACGAAAAGAAAAACTATAAAAACCATATTATTTTTACGAAAATAATCATGTGATTATTTTCTACTAATCATTATTTTTTACAACTTAGGAGCTGCTGTGAAACTATATTTAGTTATAACTTCTTTATAATAATATGAATAACAATACTTAATCACATGTTAAATTTGGTCAATTTAATTTGATTGCAAATTCTTAAAAGAAAGACCTTTCAGAGTTTACAACAATTTGAATAGCAGATGCAATTAAACATGTAAAAATACAATTATGTATTTAAAATATAAGTGAAAAAAAAACTTGGAATCCCCAAAAGCTTAAAAATGCTGTCCAAATACAAATGAAGGATTGACTGTCGTCTTGCTGGCGTATGATCATGCGTCACTTGCTATACCCATCCAAGATCAAACTACCACATTTTAGTAAATGACGTTGGCAACTGGCATGGCACGACCCTACTTAGAAAAGTCAATGAAAGCTCTTTCACTGCTCCTAAATTCTTTTTGGTTCCGGCCAAATTGAATCTCTTAAAGACTGAATATTATGCGACTTTTCTCTTGAAAATTAATGAATGAAACGAAAATTTCTACCTAGATTTATTGTTGGCCGAAACTTGTAGTAGATGAAAAACATTAATTTTGATTGATTTTAGCAAAATTCTTGATAAAACCCCACTACAATTTAACTATAAGCAACCTAGATGATTTCGACAAGGCTAAGAATCTCACTATACTTTTGGTTAGTGGGATTATTGGTAGCACCACCTTAAATGATCAAGTCAAAGATATAGAACAAAACCTTAAGTAATGCACAAAGATTTTAACAATTTAGAGAAATCTTTAAGTATTTTATTAATCTCAAAAACATGTTTCTCTAAAAGTATAAAACGCCTACTTATATTAGTTAGTAGTCGTCCATGCAAAACATAATTTCTCCTTGTAAAATTCAGCTATGACAAGATAAGATAAGACCAAAGAAAACTCATCTCATTTGAACTACAAAATTCTACTTTCATTTTTCTTTTATGACTCTTACTTCTTATCTAAACTAAATAAAGAACTCTAAAATTACTTAGACTAAATGTGACATTTAAACTAAACTACTTAGATTTATTGTTATATTCAAATCTTGATTTAGGCTAGTTATCTTAACAAGATTGTTAGCACTCGATTTTGACCCTTTTATTTTTACAAACTTTTCAAAAAAAATACAAAAATGCAAAAAAAAATTGAAAATTTTATTCGATTTGTCCGATTTTCAAAATTTTAGCCTTTTTTTTTAGTTTGTTACTAATTTTATGATTTTTGCGAGTTTTGCCTCGCTATAAGGAGACACGTATACCTATTGTATTATATGTCTAAATGCTTGCTCCACGACCCCTAATATGTATTATGAGTTTAGTTGTAGAGGTTGTATAAGAGGATTATTTGGTACTACTTTATTAGTAGGCATTCTCTACCTTTTTATTTAATTTGCCTCTCTCTGTCTTTCGGCTATTGGCCTACATTTTTTATTTGTGGTTGTTATGAAATCGTGGGGCTCAACAACATGTTACTTAGGGTTGTCCCTAATCAATGTAAGTTTTTGGACAAAATGTAAGGGTTTTTAGGTTCAAAAAATAGATTATCTCATACATTATAGCCTTTTGTATGCTTGTAATGAACATTGTAGGACTTTCTATGTTGAATCATCCTAGATGGATCTACATACTTAATCTATTTTGTCCGTAAAAATACTTTCGAGTGCCTTGTGATCAAAAAATAAGATGAACTCCTTAGCAATTAGGTAATGTCATTAATGATCAAAAACTCTAACAATAGTATAAAGCTTTTTATGATATATTGAGTATTTTCTTCTTGTTTCACTCGACTTCTTACTAAAGTATGTAATAGGCCTTTCTTCTTGACTAAGCATGACTCGTATGCCTATACTTAGAGGCATCGTAATCAACTTCAAAAACCTTTATAAAGTCGGATAATGATAGAACGGGGCCTTTATCACTTTGTTCTTTAAGGTCTCAAAGCTCTTTTGTGCATTAAATGTCCGCTCAAACTTATTTTGCTTTAATATTTTGGTGATTGGGGTGGAGATTATGCTAAACTCGTTGATGAATCTTTTATAGAATGACACCAAAAAATGAAAGCTCATCACCTTGGTAACATTAATAGGTTTCAACCATTGTAGAATTGCATCCACCTTGCTATTATTCATTATAATTCCATCACCAAAAACTACACATCCAAAAAATATCATCTTTTTAGTGTAAAAGTGACACTTTTTAAGATTAACATATAACTTTTGTTCTCTCAAAACATCAAATATTTATAGTAGATGCTCGAGTGTTCTTCTAACTTACGAGTTATATACAAGTATGTCATCAAATTAAATAATAACTTACCTATATAGGGTCGAAATACTTGATTCATAAGTCTCGTAAAGGTACTTGATGCATTAGATAGTCTAAATGGTATCACCATCCATTTATATAGACCATCTTGAGTTTTGAAAATTGTTTTCCATTTATCATCCAAGCTGTATCGTAATTTGACATTTTTCATTCCTTAAGTCTATTTTTAAAAAGATGATAACTCCAGCTAATCAATCTAGTAAATCATCGAAGCCTCGTAATAGGAAATAATACTTGATTGTTATTTTTTTATATCTCTACTATCAATGTATATTACGTACGAACCATTTATTTTAAACATTAATAATGCAAGTGCCACATATGTACTAATGCTTTCTTTTACCAAGCCTTTGTCTATAAGCTCGACCACTTATCATTATAGCTCTTCATGATCCTTTAGACTCATTAGATATGCAGGTCTATAAGGTATGATTAAACCTAGAATAAGGTCAATGGCATGTTGAATGTCTCTTTATAGGTGTAATTTTTTTAGGATTTCATTTGGCACCACATCTTTGTATTATTTAAGTAATGTCCGCATCCTTTTTTGGAATCTCGCTTTGTCCTTTATTTTCTTCCATAACCACCAATGCACAAGCCACCTCCATCTCTTTTAACACCTTCATAAACATAGACTCTAAAATAACCTCTTCTTAGCCACTTTGTGATTTGGTTGAATGCTCATCTTTTAAAGATATGAGTACAATCTTTTTTCCTTTCAAGTCAAAAGAGTATGTGTTCATATAGCCATCGGGAATCACTCACTTATCAAATTTATATGGTCATTCTAATAAGATATAGCACGCATCTATAGGAATCACATCACACCACACCTCGTCTTGGTACCATTTGCATATAAAGAATTAAATTAGGCATCTCTTTGTCATTTTGATGTCATTTCCCTTCTCAACCATGTAAGTTTATATGGTTTTGAATGGTCGGTGCTTGGTAGGTTTAGTTTGTCTACCATCTTTTGGCGATACCACATTCTCACAAGTCATAACTCCTTCATTAATAATTAGATCGTAAACCTTTCCCTTGATGAGCAACGAATGTGAAAGATGTTGTATTTAAGCCATTCATTATAGATTTTTTTTGCTATTTAAATATTAAGAGCTATACGGACCGCTAGTAACTCACCATCATCTACATAGATTTCTTCACTCTCGATCTCGATTGAATCTTCTAGCTACTCTATCAAATAAAGCTTTTTTTCTTTGATTTCTTCTACTAACCTAATACTTTTCGATTGGACAATCAAAATTAATGTGTTTAAAACTATAGATTTGAAACATTTTTTGGAATTAAAATTCAAACCCAAAATGTTTTTATCAAAACCTTCTATGACTCCTTCTTCTCTACTTAGCCATGACCTTCCTTGGGTTGGTTTTGAAACACTAGAAGGGCTCTAGGGATAAACACTCGCCATGTCTATTTTCTATGGAACTAGTTCCTAGAAATAAGTACTTATAGACCATAGTTTTCTTTTTCCTTTACTCTCTAAGCATGCTTTCATATCTAGCTACTCTTACTCCTAACTTATAAATATTCTTAAACTTCATTCCTTCGAACTTCTTTCTAAGTTTAAACTTGAACCCTTGTTAAGCTATTGCAACAAATTTCTTTTCGGGAATCTTGGCCTAACATTTAGCTTTAGCTTAGATGAACATGTATAAATATTCTTTCACATATTCGCCAATGTTTTTGTTTGAACTTAACTAAGTTTAAAGGACCTATCTCAAGCTCAATTTTTGAGAAATAAGCTTGGAAAATAGATTGTATCTCTCCCGAAAGAATGGATGGAGCAAGGGTGTAGATTGAGGTACCATGTGAATGCCTTCTAGTTAAGGAATTAGGGAACAACATGAGTTTCAAAAAGTCACAATATGCAGCTTTTCTATATTTATAGATGATCTAACAATGTTTTTTTTCCTCATAAACTATGATTAGTCATTGTTCATTAAATAAGATGAAATCAAGAAACCTAAAAGTCGATGGATAAAGATATTTTATATCTATATATCGGGGTATGGCCTATTATAAGGAGACATGCATACCTATTGTATTCTATGTTTAAATGTTTGCTCCATAACCCCTAATATGTATTACGAGTTTAGCTACAAAGGTTGTATACGAGGATTATTTGGTACTACTTTATTAGTAGGCATTCTCTACTTTTCTATTTAATTTGCCCCTCTATCTTTCAGCTATTGGCCTACATTTTTTATTTTTGGTGGTTATGAAATCGTGAGGCTCAACAACATGTTACTTAGGGTCGTCTCCAATCACTATGAGTTTTTGGACAAACTATAAGGGTTTCTAGGTTCAAAACATAGATTATCTCATACACTCGTAGCTTTTTATATTCTTACGATGAACGTTGTAGGACTTTCTACATGGAATAATCCTAGATGGATACTGTATAATCAATTCCTTTAGGTAGTTTCTCACCTATCTAGTTTTTTACCTTCAAAGTTACTTATTTAGAGATCTTATGGATAGTTCAGACATAATGTGATTAAAATCATTAATCATAACATCTCGTTTTTTTTTTTTTTTTTTGGGATTTTGGTTTCTAGATGATTACTTACATCCATCGGCATTTGATTTAAATCCATATGAGCTTATCTTTTTAGCGTTTAGAGTGTATCCAAATCATGCCTAATTCCTACTTAGAACATTCTCTCTTTCTTTAACGTTAAACTCTACCAACATATGTGTAGTTTTACTATTTGATAATACAAACTCTTAATAATGGTTCTTATGGGATTCATTTTTAGTTTGTATTTATTCTCTATCTATTACGTTATAGCTTGATATTTGATCTCTATTAATTTACGAGCTTCTTTAAATATAGCTTCTAGCTAGTTTTGTCTCTCTCAATCGATATAAAGATAGATATATCAAGATTTTGTGTTTAAATCTAGCTTCTAGCTGGTCTCATGGACTCTCCTTCATCATATGTAGAATTATTTAATGCAAGAGGTCGACTTTGGTCACCTCATCCCAAGTTGATGGGACTCTAGATGTTGCTTTTATTGGTGCCATTAATATAGTACTCTTACCACGATCGTCAAAATACTATTATGGATTCTTTTGTGTCGGCCTTAATTAAGAGAAATTTATAACAAAATAAGCAAAAAATAATGGAAATGTGTTTTGCAAGATAGTCAATCTTTTGAGTAGATGAACCAAATTAACTTATAAATGTAAATTATAACTATTTTTTAATGAATTTTTTGGGTTTTGAGCTCACAAAAAAATAAAAAATACAATTGCATTAAAAAAAACTACAATAGCTTTAGAGACCCCTCGGGAAGAGACCTTGACCTCTCAAGTTAGTTGGGTTGTAGGATTGAAGGGCAAATAACTAGAAATAAATTATAAATTAAGAAAAAATCTAAAATTTCATATTTAACATGCAACTTTAGTTACAATGTCAAAGCAACAAACTATAAATTTAAACAATTAAACACTAAGATTTAAAACGTACAATATGAATGAAAACTGACAATCTTTATAAAACAATATTGTAATCTTTTACAATGCTTAATTAAACAAACTTACGGTAAAAGAAAATGATGAGTATCCACGAGTTGACACTTCAAACTTAACAATGAATGAAGGAACTATAGAGGATGGTGGATGTGAACACGAGTAGATTGCTAGAGGACCAATTATCGGTCTACGAGCTATTACCTACTTGATTAATGCCTATTAATTATCGCTTACTAATTATCGTCTACAAGCTATCACCTACAAATCTATTACTTAACAACTTTCAAGTGTGAAACTTGTGATTTATAATGTTTTTTGAGTTGCTTGTAAGTGTACATTGATCCACTTTTGAATGAGTCAAGACTGATAGGCTCTTAAATAAAGTTAACAAATAGATTTATATCAAGAGCTTGATTGACTTTTCTCCAATCTTGCATTCAATTTATTGAAGTTGGATTTAAAATAAATTTAAGTAAAACACATGATAAAAGTTCGAACTTAAAAAATAATTTGACAAGTATAATTCTTATAAGATATTTTTAAAATTAAACTAAATATGATATTTTTTCTTAAAAAGTGTGTATTTGGATAATCGTTATTTGTTCAAAATAATAATAAATTCCCTACTCAAGAATTTTTGAATTCAACATTCTTTTTAGATTTATAATTACTTTTAATACTAGGCTTCAAATCTTTTTTTAAATTTTTTTTATTAAATTTTTGAAAGTCTTTTGAATGTGAGGTATCTACCATGCTTATCATTTTTTTTTTTTTTTTTTTGGCCATAAATGACCTCTTGCATCATAAATTCTCGCCTGATTTTAGGCCTGACACGTGGACTTATAAATGAGCACGCTATTTGCCAACTAAACTACCGACCTACTCTTAAATGTTGCCCAACAAATAGCGGTTCCTCTCTTAAATTCTGATGACATGGCAAAAGTTGTCCTATTGTGGATAGATTTGATTTAGTGGGCAAAGAGATATGCTTTTTTTTTTTTTTTATGGATTTAAATTTTAAAATCAAACACTTGAAAAAAATATTAAATTTAGTTAAATGTATTAAGTAAAATTGGTGTACGTCTTTAATTTTTTTTTTTATAAAAAAGAATTAATATAGATAAATGTATAAACTGTTTCGAAAATATCTGTGGTGGTGGAATAAAAGGAAAACTCTCTCTCTCTTCACACTTTTGCACATGTAGATATACAAACTCACACATGCATATAAATATATAGCTACCTTCTTCTTCGATTCTGAACATCAGATATTATATAGCCTAGCCAATTCAGGTTTTGTACTCTTTGCTTCTTTTTGTGAAAAAAAAAAAATGAAAAGAAATAGTAGGGTTAGTGTCCATTCAATGTTAACAGCAATATCCAGTAAGCCAGTCGAGTGGGGGAAACCCATCCATTATCAGTACTTGATCATGCAATGGGTCTTCATACCCTACATTTAGTTCTTTACTACAAGAAAAACCCATTTGGGATTTTTGACGTAGACCCTTTAAGGGTTTCTTTGTCAGAGGTTCTTTGTTTGTACCCACAAATTACGGGTCGGTTGACCCGAAGGGAGTCAGGTAATTGGGAAGTGAAGTGTAATGATGCTGGTGTTAGAGTTTTGAGAGCAAAAGTTGAGGCCTCTATTGATGAATGGTTGAGGTCAGCTGATGGTTCAGAGGAGAAAGATCTAACGTTTTGGGAGGAAATGCCCGAGGACCCTAGTACATGGGCACCCTTTCGAATTCAGGTTTTTATTTATTGAGTTCTTCGTGATTTTGCTTCTTTTTCTTATCCTTCAAAAATTTGATTTCCTTGCTGGCTGAAGTTTTCACTTGGGTTGCTCCATTTCTATGCTGTGTTTCATTCGAGTCTAAAAAACATATTCTAAATAGTAATTGATGAGCATATTGTTTTTTAAGAAAAAACAAAACTACAAATAATCTTTTCCAATGACAGTTTAGTTAATGATGTTAATTAGGAAGCTTTGGGCAACCAAGTTTATATTAATACAAGGGACACAATCTCTACAAAGTTAGGCGTACACTTGTTGAATTTTTTACATGGATGTGGATGTTTTTAGAATAATTGTTAAGAATTATTTAATGTTTTACAGTGATCTTTATTTTTTCGTTATAAAATTTATTATTCACATTTAAAAATATTAGCATATAAAATTTTTACATTGGATTATTTAATGTTTGTAATCAATATTATTTTTTATTTAAATATTCTATTTTATTCTTTTTTTTATTGTAATCTAATAATAACTTTAGTAAAATACATATATTTTGTTAAAATTATCAATCAATATGAGTGTCTCAATTTTGTTAAAATTATCAATCAATAATTCCGTTTAACTTTTGTGTTCAGTCATCTAAAGACTTGTTTTTTGTCTTAAAATACAAAATCATGATTTTGCCCTTTCTTAATTGTTTTGCTAGTTATTAAAAAATAAAAATGAAAAAACAAGAGGAAGGTTTTTTTTTTTTCCCAAAAAAGAAACGGCAAAATGCAGACAATATGAAAAAGGTCTGTTTTAATAATTTATTGCAGTTCTGTCGTTTAATTTCACCTACATTTTTATCTTTAAACTCTTCATCTCATAGTTTTTTCTAAAGCTTTGTATTGATTTGTTGATACCACATCTTCTACTCTTGGTTCTCCAGGTAAATGAATTTGAAGGAGGAGGGGTAGCTTTTGGACTAAGTTGTACACACATGAACGCAGACCCAACATCCATAACTCTACTCTTCAAATCCTGGATTGAGAGTCACCGCCAGGAGCCCATTGAACACCCACCCTTTTTCAACTCAACCATATTCCATCACCAACAAGTTCCTAATACCAGCACTAACTCAACCAATTACTATGCAACTAAGGCCAACGCAAAAACTCCTGCAGTGAAAATGGTCACATCCACGTTCAAGTTCTCTAATTCAGCAATCAAGAAATGCCTCAATAAAGTGCACGATCAATGTCCTAAAGCCACTCCATTTGATTTGCTTGCTGCACTCTTCTGGACTCGTGTTATGCACCTAAAGGCTCCAAAACATGACAACAAACACTCCCTCTCCATTTGTCTAGACTTTAGAAGGTTAGTGCAGCCACCAATCCCACTAGGTTACTTCGGCAATGCGTTGCAGTTTTCACTGCTAACGCTAAATGAGGAAGAAATGAACTGCGGTAAGTTGGGACATGTGGTGGAGTTGGTGCATCGCCATGTGTCAGGTGTTGGTGAAGAGGAGGTTTGGTCTGTCGTAGATTGGCTTGAATCTCAGAAGGAAGAGGGAGGGAAGTATGCACCACCTTTTAGAATGTATGGTCCTGAGCTAACTTGTGTCAGTATGGAACATATGATCACAGGGCACAAATCATTGATGTTCTCTGCGAGTTTCAAGAGTGATGAAAAGCCAGTTCACGTGGCATGTCATGTTGGCAACGTGGAAGGTGAAGGTCTGATTATGGTGCTGCCTTCAGCAGAAGAAGGGCTTGCTAGGACAGTGATGGTAACCTTGCCGGAGGAGGAGATGCCTAAATTATGCGAGGATCAAGCTATCCAGCGTCTACAACCAACAATGCTGATAAGTGGTACTAGATAGTAAGCTTTATTTGTTTCAAAATGTAGAGCAAGGATAGCATGGGCTCTTTTGTCTCTTTTGCTTTCATGCACCATCTGTATGCTAAGCTCTTAAAGGGATGCGGCTGCCAAGCTCTACCAGCTGTTGAGTGGAATAACAACTGTTCTCAACAAATTTTAAGCTTGTATTATCTGTGTGATCTGTAGTATATGCTAAAGCAACAGCAGAGTAACTATTTCAAATTTCTTCCTAGTTTGCACTGTTGATTTCTCTCACTGAAAAAATAAATAAATAAAATACAGAAGATGTAGCTACATATTTTCAATGAAGTTTGAGATCAGACAACAACCTCCTAGCCAACCCTTGATCAAACTCAAACATCAAGCAAACAGCATATTACAATAACCATACAAGTTTTTATTAATCTATTGAGTAAAACTGCGGCGATATAGAAGTTATTGTTCAATTATCCATAAATGTATGCATCCCAGTACAGCGGAAATGTTTTAAGTTGAAACCTTGCTATCTTTTGGAGGCGTGTTGGCAAACTTCCATGACGAAAGTCGCATGCTCTCATAGGTTCTATCACCTGCTACCTCTTCAATAGGTGTAACATTAGAAATTTCTTTCAGTTCCTCTTCTGTAGGTTTTACCTTCAAGGAGAGCCAATGTTTTCATCTAGGTTTTTTTATCTCAGTGGTCCCTGGAAAAAGTCAATGCAGAGGAATATCAAAATGATATAGCAATGTCTTGATTGCAGTATTAATAATTTCTGTTGTAAATGAAAACAATGCAGAACAGGCTGATGAACTGCCAACTGCAAAGACTTCTTTATGAGACTGTTCTATATCCATTCAATGCACTGTCGCTACGGTTTACTTAGTATATTTCTTCAAGCTAAAACTATCATGCCGCCAAGATATTTCCACTGGCCAACCAAATTGCCAGTAGTTCGTCTGGTTCAGTGTTTTCAAACTAATTTCAGTATTCCTCAGTGGCTACTACTTATCTTTGTGTTAATTACAACCTGACTTGACTTGACAATGAGCAGTTCTGACAGCAAAACGCATTTTTTTTTCAATTCTTTGGAAGGGTTTTACGAAATTATATTGGAATCAACATTATTTGCTCTTCCAACTCATAAAGGCATAGTTGAAATTTTATTTTTGAAACAATCAGATATATCCAAAGAAAGGCTGTAATATCAGTATACTTGGTCGACAATTCGAGGTACTTTTGACTTCCTTGCTGAAGTTTTATCCACTTAACTTGAATGATTTGTTAGAAATATTACAAATTAAAAAAAAAAAACATTTACTCTTGACCTCCTTGTTGCAGTTCTGACAGTAAAACACATGATCGAATCACTATTCCTTTTCTGTTCATCCAGCTTTGAATCACTGTAGACTGGACTCGGTCCAACTATTTGATCTCCTTCCATGCATCTCCATCGTTCCTTTATTGATGTACCTGCCATGCCTTGCTTGATTTGCCAGCTTTATTCTCCACTGTAGCAAGACAAATCAACCCGCCCACTTGCCTCTGCTTTTGTGCCCTCATATGGTTTCTCTCTTTTTAAAATGCAACTTGGACGAGATATCTTATTACTCTTCTACCCTCCTTCTATTGTATTTATTATTATTTTTATTTTTTCCGTCAATTCACACCTTCCCGCTCTAATGCCTTTTTAAATGCCAATTTTTTGCTTTATTTACGTTTCTACCCTTGAACGCTACTCTGATATTATCTTTGTGCCCTTTTTTTACCTGCCATTTCTGTTTTCTTTTATAAATAGCATTCTGTTTTTTGGCAGTCTATATAATGCACCATAATAATTTGCTGCACTTTTTTTTCCCTAAAAAATATATTATCCACTCATTTTTCTTCATTTTCACCGCTTTATGCGCAGCCTGCCATCCTTTCGCACACATCATCGGGCCCTGCGCTCCTTTCTTTCTCAAGGACCGATTAGCCGGAAAGAGAAAAGCGTATGTAACAGAGAGAGAGGCTCATAGGGGCTGCGCTTCTTTCCGGAAAGAGAAAAGCGTATGTGACACAGAGAAAAGCGTACGCACAGCCATTTGGCTGCCTCTTCTTCCTATGTTTTGAAGTGGGTTCGTTCGGTCTGCTTTCCATTGACGATGGATTCTACCTCTAGAAAAGAGAAAGAAAAACGAAAATGGAAAATTAAACTGCACCAGCCGGGAATCGAACCCGGGTCTGTACCGTGGCAGGGTACTATTCTACCACTAGACCACTGGTGCCTTGTTGAAGTTGTTTCGACTTAATAGAATATATTACTTAATAATTAGTAGAATTTTTCTCATTACTTTAGCTACTGGTAGAATTTTTGGGAAAATTTATAAAATGTTGTCATTAATTTAGTTGCATTGCACTATTGTAATGACTTTCTGAAAAATTATAGGAAAAAATAGCTAATTTGTTTTTTTCTTCAAGAGTTAATTTTTAGTTATTTTAGTAAGATGAATAACTACAACAAAATAGATGATAAAAGCATATGATTAATCAACGTGGAATGAATAGACATTATTGTCAAAAATCATACAAAACTATATGATCACTAAAAAAAGAACAAATAATACTAATAAAAAAAAGGTTCATTTAAGCAATCTCATAATATTACATCAAGATTCAAGTTTCTCTCCTTTATATGGTTATTCAAGTTTCTCATCCTTAATATGGTTCTACAATATAATACGGGGATAATTATTTTGTAGTTGTAAGATTAGAACAACCTTCAAAAACTTTTAGCAGACTCTTATTAATTTATCGAGTTATGATGCTCGAGATTTTGGATATCCAAATTCATTATACTTTAAAATCAATCTCTTTGAGAGGTTGAAAAAATAGTGGTGGTGTCTTTCTAAGTTTTGCATATATAGAATACAAACATCATGGTTAAGGGCACCGAGTGTGCCTCGGCGAGGTCACGTCAATGGTTAAGTTAGTATTTGGCACCTCGATTGTTATGTGAGTAGGGATGGCAATGGGTTGGGGCGAGGAACGCCATCCCCATCCCCGCTCCGCACCGTCCTTAGAAAAAAATCATCTCCACCCCGTGCTTTGTTCGGGGGAAAATTTCGCTCCCTTTTTCAACCAAAACGGGACGGGATGGGATGAGACCTCGTCGGATCACCCTTTTTAAACATTAAAGGGTGAAGCGGGGTAGGGATGGCCATCCCCATTCTCGTCCCGCTCCACTAAAAAATCCATTCCCGTCCCGCTCCAAACGGAGTATGGAAGGGCGGGGTAGGACGGCGTTAGAGAAGGTTGGATTGCCATCTATGTGTGAGTAGAATATGTGAAGAATGAAAAAGATAGGGAGAGAGGGAATTGGCTCCTAAAATGTGTGTAAGGGTTGTTGGAGTCTTTTTTATGGGAAGGAGAGCCTCTTTATAATAGTTCATACTTTTAGTGCATTAGGCCATGTGGCCATAAAACCATAAGAAAGAGAGCCTATGGTTATGAAAAGGTCTAACCTAGTAGATTTCTTGTATGATATATATAATTTTAGCAAATCAAGGCATGTTCGATGACTAAACCGGACATATTGGAATTTTGAAGTATGATTCATCGGGTGCAACCTATCTAGCTATCTTGTTTGATAAGTTGACCGGACGAACTAGGGCTTAGGAGAGTGGCATGCAATTTTGGGTACGTGAATCTATAAAGTAGAGATGGACACTAGAGAGTTGTAGTAGGATGATCGACCAGGCGCCTCCCTAAATGGTCGAGAAGCCATCCGGGATGACTCCTAAGTTTTGTTGAATGTAGTTATTCTTTGTATTTAATGGTGTGGTACCTTATACCTAAACAAGAAGTAACCACAAACTTATGGACTTAGGCAAAATGATCTTCGATTATTGGAGAAACATGGCTATCGGTTCTTACGAGTTATGGTTGTAATTTTTATAAAAGAACATGGTCCTAGGTTTCTAAAAGCTTAGAGTTCTTAAAGAAATAAGTTTTCCGGAGAAACATGATTCTTGAAGGAATAGAGGTCCTCGAAGAAGTCGTTATCTTATGAAGAAGGCTAAATGATATGAAGAAGTCATTAGTGAAAGCCGTTTATAAGAAAAATAAAGTTATGGCTTGAGAGTCAAAAGCGGTTAAAAAGCTAAAAGAGAAACATAAGTCCTTTATGGAGAAGTTGGAGAGGGTATAGAAGAGACTAACTATTATGATCCGTGAGAGAAACATCTGCTCGAGAGAGGACAACTTACTCGTAGACCATTAGGGATCATTCTAATGAGTTTTATATGATGTTTTAAGAAACTCATAAGCTAGTTAGTTCCTCATTTGATATAGTGCTTGGTGGTTTTGGAGGGCATTTAATTTTTCAATAAATTAGAGAAGATAGATGTTGACCTCGATTAATGATTTTCTAGCATGTGGGGTCTCTTTCTAACTTTATGGGATTGTCTCCTCTTCAAACGAGTAGCTACTTAAGAAGGAGAGATATATCTCGAGGGATCAAACCTCTTCTTTCTTTCCTATAGACAAACCTCTAGTGACTTAATGGTGGCCTCTACTAACTTTTTGAATTTCTTCTTCTCTTATGGGAGTATATTCTATCGACTTTTGGTTATCTTTTTTCTTTTGTAAGAGTACATTCCATCGATTTACGATCATCTTTCTTCTCTTATGAGAGTGATTTATATTGTGTTTTTTTTGTTGTAATTATTTTACGTTGGGTCAATAAACCCAATTGTATATTTATTTATTTAATAAATTTTATTGTTTTATTTCTTTCTTAGTTTTTTTATTATTATTATTTCCCAATAAGGAAGCATCAACCATTTATTGAGTGGGATACAAGTCCTTAAACTCTTAGTGGCGAATCACCCATTTGTTTAAATGGGATCCAACGTCCTTAACTCTTATTAGAAAATTTGATCATTCTTCTTTCTTTTTAGCACTTTGCTTTTCTTGTTATCTCTCATGGACACAACGTTTGACTCGAATTTTATTCTATTTGATGCTTTTACTGAAAAGCTTCT